TATGCCTGTTGTGCTCTGCCATGTAAATAATTTGCATTTACTGAATATGTACTGACTGAGTCCCACTGTTCAAAAGTTGAATAAAGAAACAAACTACTTTTTGCCTCTTTTTTTTTTTTTTTTAATTAAAACCACTTTATAGAACATCACATCAGTTACAATGTAGAATCCATTACATTTATAGTTTACAAATGACAAAATGTTTAAACAAAATCATGAGTGTTTACATGATATCACCCACTACTAACATTACTTTATTTACTGTATCTTTTGAAAAAATACAGCAATTTTAACAGCACAAGACTTAAGAATATTTAACAGGAGCAGGTTTCATTTTTCCCTGGTTTTATTATCACACTGTTCACCAAACGCAGCAAACCTTCACCATCTTATCCAGGAGGGTCACCTCTTCACCCTCACATGGAAGAAGTAATCTGATGTTTGAAGCAGGTCCCTTGTGTAGCGCTGGAACTCAGTCACGATGTGTTTCATCCATTTCATAGGCTGGTTTGCTGCAATCATGCCAAATAATTAGCAACTCTATAAATAGAAGGTAGTTCTGCAAAATCACTCAGTAGGATGTTTGTTCTAATTTGCTATGAGCTCAGAGCGCATAGAAAATAAAACTAATAGGCTATAAAGAGTGATATGAACATATTTAGAACTTACCGGAATGAAAATGTCTGGAGCACCAACAGATATCTGGAGATGGAAGAAAACTGCACGTCAGCTCGTCTCACAGCTGCTATCCAGGCTAGACGCCTTCGTTTGGTAACATCCGATACACGAGCTGCCTCATGTTGCTTCCAGGTTGGGAAAGAATGAAAAGACAAACCCTTTTCAAGCTTATTCTCTTGCCAGTCGTGTGATCGAACATTGCAGCCGACCACACGGCAAATACGAACCATGGCTGTTGTGTGTGCCTTCGCTCCCTTTTCACTTGCGCTAGACCCCCAAAATGGCGGATCGGGGCAAAATCCTTTCCACGCCCACCCCCGTGACATCAAGTTCCAAAGCCCTATATCTGGGACTCTCCACCATTTTGTGGAGGTAAGCATCAACGACACAGAGCTCTCAGTTCTCACTCCTTCTTTATTCGTCTCCAACATCAACTGCGCATATCGCGCCACAAAACACAGGAACACACTTCCTATACACTGGGTGTGAGTGGAGCCCTCTAGTGGTCCACCACACATGCCCCCCCCCCCCCCCCCCCGAACACCCAGCAGAACTAGTCCAGGCCCCGGGCTTAAGCAAACGGCCAGAACGGCTGAACTGGGGGGGGGGGGGGGGGAACTGACAGAGGGCAACCCAGCCCGGGAGCGAGGCTGGCACTGGCGGTCAGAAAAAGCTGCAGACGACTCGGACTCCGTTGATTTTGGGTCGCTCCTGGGGGAAAAAACAGAATCCATCAGCCCGGTGGCAGGTGGGCGGCCGCGGGCGAGGGACCTGGGCCGGGACCACCTGATCCTCTTGCATAACATGTGCAGGCTTAAGTCTGTCAACAGAGACAACTTCCTGCCGACCGCCAAAGTCCAAAATAAAATGTTTGTTGCCTGGTTTAAGAACCCTGTATGGCCCGTCATATGGTGGACGCAACGGAGTCCTATGGGCATCGTGCCTGACGAAAACGAAACGAGCAGAGTCCAATGAACTCGGAACAAAAGTGTCAGGCAGGCAGTGGTGCACAGGACCAGGAACAGGAAATGAGTCTCTTGGGGGGGCGAAAACGCAACAGAGAGGTATCGAAACATGGGGGAGGGCTCTCAGGTAAGAATTACCCGGGGACCCGGAGAGGCTGGCCGAGGACCAGTTCAGCCGGGGAAACCCCGAGGTCTTCTTTAACCGTGCTACGCAATCCCAGCAAAACCCACGGAAGACAGTCGACCCAGTCGCCACTTGTTAAGGAAGCACGGAGTGACCAGTGACCAGTGAAACCGTTCGCACATCCCATTAGCTTGCGGGTGGTATGCTATGGTGCGGTGGACCTTGACTCCCAGGCCGTCAGCCATAGCAGACCAAAGCTCGGAAACAAACTGGGGGCCACTGTCCGAGGTAATGTCAGCAGGGGGGCCAAAACGTGAAACCCACGTTGACAAAAATGCCCTGGCCACCGTCGCCGTTGTCGTGGATGCCAGGGGTACCGCCTCCGGCCACCTGGTTGTGCGGTCCACCACAGTCAAAAGGTGCGTGAAACCCTGTGACTGCGGCAAGGGACCAACCAGGTCCACATGAACGTGATCGAAACGCCTACCCGGGACACGGAAGGGTTCGAGGGGTGCCTGTGTGTGCCGGTGGATTTTCGAGCGTTGGCATGGGATACAAACCGCCGCCCATCCTTTCACCGTCTTGCGAAGGCCCGGCCAAACAAACCTGGGCTGACCAGCTTGACCGAGGCCCGGACGCCGGGATGACATGACGACGCCACGAAAGGGGAACCACCGGGCGGGGGCGGCCGGTGGAAACGTCGCAAAGAAGGTGCGGACCGCCGTCCCACACCGGAGTGTCCTCCAGCACGAGGCCCGTTTTTGTTGACTGAAGGGCAAGGACGTCCGGGTCAGCACGTTGCTCGGCGGCCATGGCAGCGTAGTTGATGCCGACATACACCGGAGAAACCAACACACGTGAGAGACAGTCAGCGACGTGATTGGACTTACCAGCCACATGCTGAATGTCTGTGGTAAACTCAGAAATGGCCGCCAACTGGCGCTGCTGGCGTGCGCTCCATGGGTCAGAGACCTTGGACATCGCAAACGTCAAAGGTTTGTGGTCAACTTATGCAATAAAGTTGCGACCCTCAAGGAAAAAACGAAAATGTTGTGTCGCGAGGTGCAGGGCCAGCAACTCCCTGTCAAAAACACTGTACTTGCGTTCAGCATCCCGGAGCGTACGACTGTAAAAGGCGAGCGGTTGCCAGAGACCAGAAACCCGCCGTTCCAACACCCCACCCACTGCCACGTCAGAGGCGTCGGTGGTCAACGCGATCTCCGCCGACGGAAGCGGGTGGGCCAGCAGGGCGGCGTCAGCCAGCGCAGACTTGGCTGCGGAAAACGCACGGACGCGTTCCTTCAGCCAGTCAACCGGCTGTTTTACCTTTTAAGGTAGCATAGAGTGGCTGTAGCAGGTGGGCAGCTCTGGGGAGAAAGCGGTTGTAAAAATTTATCATCCCCAAGAACTCCTGCAACGCTTTAACCAACGTGGGACGCGGGAAAGCCGAAACGGCCTGGACTCTGTCGGGCAACGGAACCACACCTTCAGCGGAAATGCGGTGCCCGAGGAAATTCAGAACAGGCAACCCAAACTGGCACTTGGAAGGGTTGATGATCAGGACGTGCGCTGCCAAACGCTGGAAAACCTGGCGCAGATGGGACTCGTGCTGGCTCGCTGAGCAGCTGGCCACCAATATATCGTCCAGATAAACAAAAACGAACGGCAGCCCATGCAAAACGGAGTCCATCAGCCGCTGAAAGGTCTGGGCGGCACCTTTCAGGCCAAACGGCATGCGCAAAAACTCGAACAAGCCAAAGGGGGTAATGACAGCGGTTTTAGGAACATCTTCGGCGCGCACGGGAACCTGGTGATACCCCCGCACCAAGTCAATTTTAGAAAACATCGACGTTCCGGCGAGATTGGCAGAAAAATCCTGAATGTGGGGGATGGGGTAACGGTCATTCTCCGTGGCATTATTTAAACGGCGGAAATCTCCGCATGGCCGCCACCGACCGTCCGATTTGGGCACCATGTGAAGCGGAGAGGCCCATGCACTGTTCAAACGCTGTACAAGGCGCTCCATGGCTGCAAACTCTTCCCGAGCGACGGACAGTTTCGCGGGGTCGAGGCGGCGTGCGCGCGCGAACACCAGGGGCCCGACCGTGGGAATATAATGCTCAACCCCATGCTTCGTTACCGTGCTAGAGAAATTAGGGACAGACAGCGATGGAAACTCTAAAAGCAAACGCTGAAAAGCATCCCCGGAGGTCACTACATTAGCCCGAATCAGGGGCTCGGCGGCCCGAGTAAAACAGGGTAGCGAAGAAAATGAGAGAGCATCGATTAAACGTCTGTTAGCAACATCGACAAGTAGTCCATGAGCACACAGGAAATCAGCACCCAAAATAGGTACAGAGCTAGCGGAAACAACAAAGTTCCACTGGAAATCCCGGCCATGAAAACAAACAGTCACCAACCTTTCCCCAAACGTTTTGATGGGAGAGCCATTAGCTGCAATGAGCTGCGTCCCACAGTTCGCTGCTAGTCCGTCGGCAGCGGTAGGGGGAAGGAGGCTCTTCTGGGAGCCGGAGTCCACGAGAAAACGTCTCCCGGAGCGCGAGTCCTCTATGAAGAGCAGTCTTTCTGTATTGCCAGCGGTCGCGGCTGCTACGGCGCGCTGGCGGGTCCGTTTCCCTGGGCCGTGAAAGCGCACTGATGGTAGAAACAGATGCTCTTTCCACGGTGCCGGCGTGTAGCAATCCCTGCTGTCAGCAAGGGGGCGGATGCTCCGGGGGAGGCAGGTGGAGGCGTGGAAGGTGCCGCTGGCGTGTCCGTAGCCAGGGCGTGAACGTCGAAAGTGCGGCTAGCCAGGAGAATGCGATCCGCTTCTTCAGCCAGGGAGCGATAATCCTTCGCAGGCAGAAGCGGAGAGTTTGCGAGGACAGCTCTCACGGCGGCCGGTAGTTGGCGGAGGAAGAGGTGCACGAAGAGGAAACCACCGTCATCCGGCCCGAGCAACGATATCATGTTCTCCATGAGCTCGAGCGCGGTACCGCCACCCAAGCCTGACAGGTTGAGGAGCTTTTCGGCTCGTTCGGCGTCGGAGAGGGCATAGCGCCGAAGAAGCAGCTCTTTGAAGGCGGCGTATTTCCCTTGGGTGGGTGGGTCCCGGAGGAGCGCCATCGCGCGACGGGTGGCCAGCGGGTCGAGCGAGGCCACCACATGGTGATACTTCGTGTCGTCAGCCGAGATGCCGCGAAGGGCGAACTGAGCTTCCACGTGTACAAACCATGACGGGGGGCCAAAAGTCCGGCAGTTTCAGCGCCACAGCGAACGTAGCTGCAACAGGAGGCGGAGGTCCGGCGGCCGCTGATGCATCCATAGCCGAGTCTGCGTTATCTACGGCCCGTTGCATGCTTAAGTCAGGGGTCACCAATGTGGAGGTAAGCATCAACGACACAGAGCTCTCAGTTCTCACTCCTTTATTCGTCTCCAACATCAACTGCACATATCGCGCCACAAAACACAGGAACACACTTTCTATACACTGGGTGTGAGTGAAGCCCTCTAGTGGTCCACCACAATTTGACCTTAGAACTGAAGAAGCTTCTCGGATGAGAGGTGAAACGTCTTCAAGTAACTTAAAGAAGTCCAGACGCTTTTCTTTGCAAGCTCCTTTGACTTCTTCTGCAAATGTTAATAAACGGCTGTGCTCCCTGGCTAGCTCACGGGAAGCAAGACCAAACGATACCTCTGTCTCCTCCTTGTCTGAGCTCGCCACATTGGTGTCAGAAGTGGGATAGCTCACCCTCGCCGTAATGGAGAGAGACATTCAGAGGCCGGTGCTCACCTCGCAACCTAACCAGCAGGTGCCCCCCCCCCCCCCAAACTACCCCCAAATCAGAGCCGCAGACTGCGACGGGGAGGGGGAGGTCACTGAGATGTCCCAGCTGCAACCCTCAGTGCCCCGGAGGCGTCCTCGTCGACTGACCGACCGCAGCTACCAGTGCGATGAGCCTGGCCACGTGGCGCATGACTGCCCAGCACCAGCTCCAAAGACCAGAACTACGCAGCCTCAGGGAAATGAGGAGGGAGCGGTGTAGCGAGGGGACCACCGCTCCAGCTTCCTGCCCCCCTCCAAGGACGATGCACAGTGGTGGGCCGAGTCGGGCACCTCAAGGGACTCTACCTGAGCTGCTGTGTTGAGGGCCAGCCATGCCAGGCCCTGGTGGACACGGGGTCTACCATTTCCCTGATACGACCTGGCATGCTCCCTGAAACATCCGGGCCACTGGTGAAGGGTTGGTTGCCCACAGACACCCAGCTGATGACAGTGAAGGGGGAGAAAACTGTTATGCGGGGGAAGAAACCGTTGCGGATCCGAGTGAAGGATCTAGAGCTGGTGCACGACTTCTGGCTCGCCGACATTCAAGACCAGTGCATCATTGGCCTGGATCTGCTGAGCCGCTGGGGGGCCTGTGTCGACACCGCGAAGCTGGCTATCACTCTTGGCGCAGAGATTTTTCCTCTCCAGCGTGGCCAAAAGTAGGGAGCGGGGACCAGACGAGACAGGCGTCGAGCAGCTGCCGCTCAGCAGATTTCGAGTCGAGTGCCGCTACTGCCTGCGACAGGAGGAGCGGGCCCGGGAGGTGCTGGGGGTGGCTACTGCTCAGGCCACAGCCGGTGGAGGGGGGTGGCTCCCATTGACAAAGCAGCAGCTGAAGCGGGAGCAGCAGCAACATTGGTTCAGGTGGGGGCCTGGCTAGAGGCGGCGCAACGCCCCGCCTGGACGGGGGTGTTGGGAAAGGAGCCCGAGGTGAAGGCCTACTACTCCCAGCACAACAATCTGGAGACCCACGACGGCCTCCTGTACCGGAGATGGCGAGCCCCCGGTCAGGGCAGAGATCTCCTGCAGCTGTTGGTGCCTCGGTCGCTGCGGTCGCAGGTGCTTGAGCTGGTCCACGGCTCGGTGGAGGCAGGACACTATGGGAACGCCAAAACTCTCCACCGCCTCAGGGGACGGTTCTACTGGCCTGGCTGTCGACGGGATGTGGAACTTCATGTGCACTGCTGTGACACCTGCACAGCACAGAAGGGCCCAACTCAATGCTCCACTGCCCCCCTTCAGCAGTACCTGGTGGGGGCCCCAATGGAAAGAGTGGGAGTGGACGTCCAAGGGCCTTTCCCGTCACAGAGTCAGGGAACCGGTATGTGTTGGTGGCTATGGACTATTTCACGAAGTGGCCAGAGGCCTACGCGGTGCCGGACCAGAGCGCAACAACGACGGCCGAGAAGCTGGTGGAGGAGATGTTCACCCGTTTTGGGGTCCCGGCTGAGCTCCACAGTGACCAGGGGCGTAACTTCGAATCGAAGGTCTTCGGGGAGATCTGCCGGCGACTGGGGGTGGAGAAGACGAGAACCACACCGCTCCACCCACAAAGCGAAGAGTTGGTTGAGCGCTTCAACCACACGCTGGCCACCCAGCTCGCCATTCTCACCAGCTGCCACCAGCGGGATTGGGACCGACATGTGCCCCTGGTCCTTTGGTCGTATCGGACTGCGGTGCAGGAGTCCAGCCAGTGCACACCTGCTGCTCTGATGTTTGGACGGGAGCTCCGGATGCCTGTGGACCTGGTGTTCGGGTCCCCCCCCCCGAGCCGGAGATTGATGGTGGGCCAGAGATGGACTACTACAGGAGGCTGAGGGAACGCTGCAGGTGGTTCGTGACTACACCCGCCAGGCCCAGGCCAGCGCCGGAGTACGACAGAAAAGAGCCTATGACACCAAGTGCCAAGGGGGGGTTTTCATGCCTGGCGACAAGGTTTGGGTGTACTGCCCGGTTCGCCAGAGAGGAGTGTCCCCCAAACTCTGCAGTCACTGGCAAGGGCCGGCGGAGGTCGTGGAGCAGCTAACAGACGTGGTGTACCGTATCCGCATGCCGGGCCCGGGACGCATCGTGGTGTTGCATCGGGACAGGCTCTCACCGTACCGACCGCTCGCTCCGGCAGACGCCGGGGCAGGGGATGATGGTGGCACCCCATGTTCTGACCCGAGTGACTTTTCCCCCGGCGGCCGTGACCAGCCGGTGCGCCAAAAGAAGGCACCTGGACATTTGCAGGACTTTGTGTGGGGTAATGGGGTCCTCGGGTACGACTGACCCCTTAGGTGGGGGCTATGTAGCGGGTCAGGGCTGTTTGGGGTTCTGTTTGTACAGTTCTGTTTGTTTATGTTGCCATAGTGACGGGTGACGCCCTCTCGCTGCGACGGTGTGTCCATCCGGGGTCAGAGGGCGCCCTGTGTGTTGTTGTTGAGTTCCCTCCCCAGACGCCTTAACGCCCACTCACATCCTGGGCCATCTGACCTCAGGAATTCGCATGATAAGGTGGGGCCAGGTTTCACAACGAGCTCATCCGAAACTATGGCTGATTGGGACCCACACCCAGTTTCACACCCTGGCTTAGGCGATTAGAGGATCATCAGGGGGTCCTTTTGTCCCTCTGTGGGGGGATACTCCCACTAGGGTTAAATCTGGGACTCCTGACCACTTGACCTTAGAACTGAAGAAGCTTCTCGGATGAGAGGTGAAACGTCTTCAAGCAACTTAAAGAAGTCCAGACGCTTTTCTTTGCAAGCTCCTTAGACTTCTGTGTGTACAGTTATCGCAAAATCTAAAATTATGGCTTTAGATGCCTTATGTAAGACTTATGACCTCGATAAACAAGACTTCTTCCAATACTTGCAATTTTGTGACTATATTGGCAAAAGAATAAACAGCTGTGTCCTTGGAGACTTCTCGATTGTTATCATCTTCATTGACGCTTATGACTCCGAGAGTAACAAAGCACTGATAAGTAAAGTGTACAAATGTATGATTAAGCTTAAAAGGACTCAACAATTTACATAAAACAGAAATGGGAAAGAGAAATGGACATTGAGATTACAGAAGATGGGTGGACAAGTATTTGGGTAACGCAGTTCACAACAACTAATTCCAACATGTGGCGGGAATTTTGTCATCTCTTGGCTCTTGACGGAGGCGGTCGCACTTTCTCCTGCTCCCTCTCCCTGCCGGATACTCGATGGCCGGTTGTATCGTGTGTCTGGCAACACTATCGATGGAAGACATTGAATAACATCTACCAATTCGGAACCATGATAACAGAGTTCTGGCCTATTGGAGCTGGCTCAGACCCGGCTTATTGAGGAACAAAAGCAGCTACAGCTGTTAAAAAACCCACAAGGCTGGCCAACATGATAGATGACGGGCAGGACTGTGTGTACTCAGACTGTGTTTTTTTGAATGCAATATGGATAAGATCTTGGAGAAGAACAACGGGAATTGAGAGACCTGGTGACTAGTGACGGACATTAGACCTACTGTAAAATTGGATGCAGTTTGTTTGCACTAACCAAAACCACTACCATCTTCATCTCATGTGGCCCCCCTGGCACTAGCTGGATGCTCAAGGCAAAAGCTGACGGGAATAACAATTCTCCCTTAGATAATAAGACTGTTGTGACTCTCTCCCTCCTCATTCAAGGTCACCCGCGTCGACCGAAGATTGTTGACTTTTGCCTAACCGGGTGAAGGGACACTTTCTCTCGGCTGAACATGGAACACACACACGCACACCTACACATGTACACTGACACAGACCTACACCCACCCCCCACCCCCTCCAAACACCTTTGAAGCTTATGTCTTCTATGTTGTGAGATGTGATGATTCATGTGCTATTTACTGAGGTTTTTTTCTGTTCTCAAACTGAGCTCCCTGTTGGAGTTCTTTTTTCTCCTTGTCTTTCCTCATGTAGTGCATTTTCCATTGATATACCTCTCTGACCTGTCTTCCCCATGTGATGTTGTGTAATGTATGTATGGTCGGAAGGGTAAGATGGAGTTGGCAAAAGGTCGGCAGCCTTAATCCAATTTCCTTCGGGGTCAACCTTCGGGATCAATAAAGTTTAATTGAATTGAATTGAATTATATGTTTTTTCATAGGACCTAAACAAAAGTCTAAATTCAGTGCTACACCTGTGCTGTGCTTGAGAAACTGTGGGGAGGTGTCAGAGTTCCTGGGTCTTTGACCCAGTGCTTTCAGTTTTGTCAGGTTTAGTTTATGTTGCCACATCAATGTTCTCACTTCCTGCTTTTCCTGTGTCAGCTCGTCTCTTGTGTCGTTAGTCAGATTATGTTCAGCTGTGTACTCACCGGTCTCTCATTATCATCCTTATCAGTCTGTGTATTTAAGTCCTCTGTTTCCACTTGTTCACTGTTGTGTCATTGATGTTATGTTGTCGTTTCTGCCTGCGTTCAGTTCAGCCAGCCATCCAGTCTTTCAGCCAGTCAGTCCTTTCGTTCCTGCCCTGTTCATCCACTCTTTGTAATAAACAATCTTCCGTTCTTCATTATCCACGAGTCCTGCGTTTGGGTCACTTCCTCGCCTCCACACAACACAAATCCTGACAGGAAGTCACGGCGAAGAAAATGGCTGGGATTTATCAACTGTGGTAGCATTCTTTAATGCATAGAACTTCCAGCAGCAGCAGCAGTCATTTTGCCATATCATTTTTTGATTGGTCGACATGGTGCCTTTTTCCACCAACATGAACGGGCTGTTTTTTTTTGTATTTTTATTTTTTGCTCATAAGCAGAGAGTGCTCGCCGCGCTGTCCTTAGACAGTAAACGTGACAAAACTATTGAAGAAAAAACACGTATATATTGTTTATCATGACTCTGGTTTTACGTGGACTATCAACACAATTTAAAAACTGGTATATATCACCTTGTTGCTTTGTCATCTTAAAGTGGTCATGTGATTGGCTTACCAAGACTACTTTATTCTTCCTCAGCCAAACAGCAGCACTCATGCGATTGGTTTGCCCCCTGAGCTCCAGGTGTTGTGCCAAAAAGTGATCATCTACCAGACAGTGATTGCTGCCCGCAGGAGCGTGCACAGCTGCTTAAAGCTGTAGCGCCCAGATTACTTACATAGACAGCTACTTCCATTCAACTGATATAAGGTGCGGTAGACTAAAGACAGCTTCAACCGTCTGTTTGTTGAAAAATAGTAACGCGACCGCACCGCATTTTCTTTCTTTCTTTCTTTCTTCCTTTCTTTCTTTCTAACGGTAACAGCGTTGTAACGATAGGAATAGCAATTAGTTAGATTACTCGTTACTAAAAAAATTAACGACGTTAGTAACGCTGTTACTTGTAACGCCGTTATTCCCATCACTGGATTCCACCCTCAAAGATATCATCGATTTGATGAAAGCTAATCTGCTGCTTTTTTCTGACTATCCTCGGCAAACATTGGTGATGACATCGTTGTGGAAGTTGATAAGGCAATAAAACAACACACCTATAGAGTGAATCCTACCAACCAACTGGTTTTAATGTAACAGTAAGTTGAATATCTAGTTAAACATGGGTTAGCTGTGCCCAGTAGCAGTGCATGGAGTTCGCCCTGTATTTTGGTGCCCAAACCAGATAACATCCCACGTTTCTGTACTGATTACAGAAAGGTTAATGCTACATACGTTACTAAGCTAGACCTCTCCGGAAAATTATAAAGGTATGATTAGATGATGTTCGTCAACTGTGAAAACCTGTTTTTGTCATCTGCCATAATAAACTACACACTCTTTGTTAAAGTCCACATTTGGGTCATCTCAAAAGAAAACCACACAGTCTGCCACTGCTGTTTGTCCTTGTGTTCCTGCTCCCAGGATAGCTAAGGCCCAGCCATTCCCTGCAACTGTATCAGTTTCTCGGGTGAGGGTGGCTAGGACGGCTTTGTCAACAAAGATATGTTTATTTACTTCACTGACCCCATTCTCAGATGGCCAAATCCCTACACTCTGAACATCTCTGTGGGACTGAAATGCGTTCTGTGGAGGAAACAAAGAAGTCCTTTAAAAATGTTGGTATATTTGGCTGATCCCAAATGCTCCTATGCCGTTCTGCTCCTCTCATCACCCAACTAAGTGACTCACTACTCGTATGAAATAAGAAGACCATATGGCTGCGAATCTGATGATACATTTACAAAAACATGAACATAGGTTTGACCTAGGCTGCAAACCAAGTCAAGGAAACAGTCCTCTTGCCTACCAAAAATCCCAATGTACAGACATTGAAGTATAATGACCTTACCAATGGTGGAGTGGAAATGAGTCCAGCCTCTTCCCAGGAGACTAGTTCCAGAAACAAGACTGTGTATTGATGTGGTCCTACCTTTATTTCCATGGTACCTCTCAACCTCACATAAAAGTTCTGGCTTCTTCCTTTACTAACATTAATGTTAATTATTGTCTGTGTGATTTTAAAAATACTATACCATACAGTAAAATGTCCCAGAGACATTCTGGGACTATTTAGTTTAACGTTGTAAAATGTTTTCATTCATTTATTTTGTGCACTGCACCGTTTTTGCATACATTGTGTTTTCTGTTCAAATAGTTCTGCTTTTTCAGTCTTATCGACCACTACTGCCATGTACTTTTTCAATAGTAATATTCCAAATAGAACGAAGTATTTTATTCTATTTGCATAGAACTTTTTATATTGTATATAGTATTTTATTCTAGTTTGTATAGTTATTCTATTCTACTGTTTTTTCCCCTTTTTTTCTTAATTTTTACTGCTCTTAACTTGTACTTTCTGCCATGACCAAAAGATTTCCCACATGTGGGATTAGGTTTATCTTGTCTTATGGCTCCAGTCTATAAATATAATAAATCAATACATTTTTCACATATGCATGGGAGCAATGAGCAGAATTGAAGAAGCGCTCAAACATGCAAGCACATGCGTTGCTTGAGTCTCATTGGTGCAGGCAAGCAGCAGGTTCAGCTGGCTGGGCTTAGATTCTTGCAACACTTAGTCACATGGGCTGATGATTATCTCACACAAATAGGCACACAGAGCAGGGATCTGTGTATTCTGTGATTGCACAAGCCCTTCCCCCTCCCTTTAGAGCTCTCGCCCTGTCGCTCCCTCCGTCTCTCTGCTTCCCTGCCCTTTTCTGTTGTCTCTATTTTTCTCTGTAGTGCACGCCTACACGTAAAGGCACACACTCAGCCAAAGCAAAATTGTCGGTGCGCAGCTACATTTGCGATTTAAGAGGTAGGAAAACACTGATTATTTTTCAAACTACTTCAATTTTCATGTGTTTTATTCTTTAGTCAGTGCTGGTACGCCCCTTCTACAGTACGCCTGTTTATCTCCACTGGATACCTTTGGGTATGTGTGAGGAAGAATGTCTGTGCCTTTGTCACTGCATATCACAGGCTTGTTCAGACCATTATGGACCTATATTGTGGGAAACTTTCAATGTGGAAGCTGAGGGGATTGCTGGGTGTCCTAGAAGAGCAGTTCTTATTCCAGTCATGTTTGGGCTAGACATTCCTGCTTCCTTTTATTGTTTCTTAATCCTGCCAATTTTTACTAACCCAAGCTGTAATTGCTATTTCTCTCACATATTTGTAGCACTACTCAAGTGTAATATTCTGGATATTTTTTTTACATTTTTAATTTTTTTATTCACAGATGACAAAGAGGATACAGTGTTAGGGAGTCTGCCCCTGCTCAGTTTCCAGATTGGAGGAGTAGAGCTTTCAGAAAACATCACCTGCAAATTTGCCTTTAAGGTCAGTAACTGAACATTACAAAAGGTTCATATATAATTGCTTGTTATGGAAGAAATACATTGTGTATTGAACAGCATAGATCTATTAAATGACTTTGGAATGTGCAATTGTTGCAATAAATGCATTGGTTCTTATATAATGCTTTTCCATCTTAGCAGTCAAAGCATTCGCTTCACTCTCCCATTCATACATCAGTATGTATTTTCTATGTAAGTGCTTATAGCTAGCTTTCACACTCCAACAGATCCATCCAAGAGCAACTTAGTTAGTAGGTTAGTATTCTGGTAATCGCCAATCTTCTGATTAGCAGATGACCTGCTCTACCTCCTGAGCTAAAGCCACTTCTGTAGTCTTTAGTCTGTAGCTTAGTGGAAAGCAAATATGACTTGGTTCTTCGTATTAGTGTACTTTGCCTTAACTTATACAACTGATTAATGAAGGTCTTTAGAAAGGTTCTCTTTAGCACAAGATGATTTTTATAATGAAATAGGCAGCTGTTATAATATCCCATATAGTGGGATGGTTGTTACCTGTTCTCCTGAGTGATAACAGTTCCTCACAGAACAGCTGTTTTAACCCCTGAGCTCCCTTGTGCAACAAAACGTCTCATTGAAAAAATTAGGATTTGCTAATGTTGGAACTTTGTTGTTGTTTTTTTGCCTTGGTGTAGTGAAGGATGTTGATTTGGTACTGGCTAATAAAAGTTTAATAGCCTTGGGCTGAGGCAACGTTTACATCATAGTGAAAGATTTATGTTTTATTTTCATTTAAAGAAAAGACCTGGGATTAGAACAATGGATTATTATTAAAATATATTCAGTTATTTTAAATGGTAAATGGACTGATTCTTATATAGCGCTTTTCTACTCTCCCGGAGTACTCAAAACGCTCTATACAACATGCCTCATTCACTTCTAAACACAAGTGCAAACTAATCTACATTCACATTTATTCACACTCCAATGAATGCATCGGAGGGCAACTTGGGGTTAGTATCTTGCCCAAGGATATTTGACATGTAGACTGGGGAAGCCAAGGATCGAACCACTGACCTTCTAATCAGTAGCTGATGTGCTCTACCACTTGAGCCACCACACCCCATTTTAGTCTTTAGTACATTATATTTGCCTTTTATTTTCAGCTTTTACTGCAATCACTGTTTTCTTTTTCACTTTTCAGTAGATCTAGGCTTTTCTGTCACTCTCTCTTCACTAGTGCAAACTCTGGCTCAAAGTCCAGTTTATGTACCCAGTGTGTACACACACACAAACAAAAGCCCAAGTAGGTTGTTTACTGAGTGGAGACAGACTGCTTTTTTCCCCCCTAAAGAACATGAACTGAAAAACCCTTTTTTTATTCAGTGTTGTTACAGTACTTAGTACTCTTGTCTCTTTTCCTCATAACTAAGGTATTTGGTTTTGGGTGTACAGAGACCATACAGTTACATAATAGCAGGTCCATCAGTGAGTGGTGTACTCGACCAGCTAAGTCAAACTGTGTTTTTTATGTCTTGTTAATCCTGTTGCAAAGTGTTAAAACGTTAAAACGAACACAGATAATTGCAACTCTTGTTTTCACATTTACAGAAGCATGCGGGAGGTCATTGCTGACCATTTTCAGTGTAGCAAGATTTTTTTCCTTGCTAATAACAAAAATAGATTGGTGAATATGTAATAAAATCTTTCTGTTAAGTTCAGAAAAGCGGTCATTTTGAAACCATGAACATGCACACCAAAATTTCAGGTCCTTCAGTTCATCTATCCATCCATCCATCTTCATCCGCTTTATCCGAGGCCGGGTCGCGGGGGCAGCAGCCTAAGTTCATTGTGTAATTTTTATGATATAGCTGCATCTGGCTGGGTATGTGTTTATGTATGAGACAGATAATCAAGGCATTTCAGTTTTTTATCAGCATGGTTCAAATATCAGCTCAACTAGCAAGCTATTGAAACCGGTTTTATCAGCAGATTTACCACCTTCCTGTACAGTGGTGTGGGTTAACCTAGGGTACATTTAAGGGTTTCAGTAAAGTTGACAAATGTGCAACTAAAAGTTATGTTTCACCTTAGTGTTCAAGCCAAACCAAAATTATTATATTTTAATAGAAATATTTAATCAAATGTCAAAGCACTTTATACAACTTGCCTCATTCAGCCAAGCACTTCTTTCTACTGAAGTGCTTTCTTTCTAATATTCATACATCAGAGGGTAACTTGGTATTAGTATTTTGTCCATGGATATTTGACATGCAGACTGGAGCAGCCATGGATCAAAACCACCAGCCTTTCAATTAGGAAAGGATCTGCGCTACTATCTGAGTTACAGCCACCTGAGAAGAACTCAAGGTTCTATATCATGTCAATTTCTCCTTTATGGCAAATAAGGCTGGCTTGTCAGATTTATTCACAATATCAGCTATTGTGCTAGATTTATCTGAAAGTCTTATGCTGTGGGACTGCATATGACTGACACTTTCTTTTTACTATTCTTAAAGTTAAAATAAGGATGCAGAAATAGGATTGGGTTTTAAAAAACGATTTTCCCAAGTCAAATTAATTTTATCTTAAATAAAGCAATATCGAGTCATTAAATCTCAAATCGATTTTTTTAAATGTAAATGGACTTTGCCAGAAATGCCAGAATCTCAGGTTAAAGCTCACAAAACTATTTTAATGACCACTAAACAGCTAAAACAGTAAATGAGAGCAGTTACACGGATTCAGCACAAAGATGTAAACACAGAGCATTGTTCACCTGATGGCACATACGCAGGCATGCCATCTGAGCTGAAAGCCAACATCTAACAGATTCTAAAGATGCAGGTTTCATCCCCAAAGTTCACTGAATCAGCAGCAAAAGAAGATCCAAATTATGCTTCACGTTTGATAAAAATTGTCATGAATTCCCTCCACCACAATAAAAATCACACTTCCTGCACAGCTCTCTCTCTCTCTCTCTCTCTCTCTCTCTCTCTCTCTTTCTCTCTCAGTGTACTCTGCGCATCTGCATGCATCTATCCATCCACCCATTTTCTTACATTTATCTGAGTCACAGGGGCAGTTGTCACAGCAAGGATACCCAGATCTCTCTCTTGCCACCTCCTCCACCTTATCTGGGGAAACATGAGGTGTTCCTGGGCCAGCTGATTTGTCCAGTGTAGTGGGTCTGCCCCAAGGCCTCCTCCCAATGGCACATGCCTCAAACACCTCACCTTGTCAGATGCCCAAATCACTGAACCACTTTGGCCCCAGTCCATCTGACAATCTCATGCCTCATGAGCAAGACTCTGATATACTTAAACTCCTCCACTGGGGCAGTCACTTCTCCCTGACCTGAAGTAGAGACTCCACCCTTTTCTGGCTGAGGACCATAGCTTCCGACTTGGATGTTCTCATTCTTATATCTGCTGTTTCACACTCAGCTAAGAACCACTCCAGTGTGAGCTAAAGGCCACTGCCTGATAAGGCCAACAGAACCATGCAGAATAATCTGAAAAAATAAGAGATGCAATTCTATGGCCACTAAAATGGTAGCCTTTTGCCACCTGGCTATGAGTAGAAATTCTATCCATAAAAACACAGAGCAAAATTGGTCACAAAGGGAAGAAAAGAATTCAACTTTATTGTCATTGCACATGCACAGGTACAGGGCAACGAAATGCAGTTTGCATCCATCCAGAAGTGCTTTAGCCCAGGCAGAGTCCAACCCGCACTGGGAATGAGTCTGATTTTCTAGTTCAAAGGTGGGGCCCAGTAACCCTACTCCAGAATACACTTGCTTTTTTCTCTCACAAAGGGGTTGACTGAATTACTCTTTGTCTAGCCACTCTTCCAGGACCAGTTTGCTTTGGGAGACCCTGTCAGGGGGCAACTGTGATGAATGTACAGTAAATGTCCTGGTGGTGCGGGACCCAAATGCAGGACTTAAACGAAACAGGATAAACTCAAAGAAGCAGCTATATTGCTGTGAAAAAATCCAAATGAAACATAGAAGTGAAATAAAAACTAAATCTGAAAAATAGAACTTAGACTAGGAACAAACTCAGAAATAACCTGGAGGACAGGAAACATACACAGGAACATGGGATGATGTGTCAACAGGCAAATGAAAACAAGACTAAATATACAGAGGATAACAAGGGAATGAGAAACAGGAGGGAAACACAGCTGGAGCTAATCTGTCATAACAAGACAGAGAGGAAGCAAAAATGAGTAAACTAAAAATAGGGCAAGGGACTATCAAAGTAAAATAGGAAACATGAGTCACACACTGAGACACAGGACTTGATACTAGGACCAGGGAAGAATAAGATCAGATAAACCTTTATTAGTCCCACACGTGGGAAATTTTTTTGATCACAGCAGAAATGTTAAGAGCAGTAAAAATTAAGAAAAAAAGAAAAAAACCGAGTAGAATAAGATAAGATAGAATAACATGCTATACAAAAACAGAATAAAATACTTTGCTCTATTGGGAAAATTGCACTTGGTACTGTTGCACATTAGGGAGACAGGGTGAAAGTTATCATTGTGTTTTGGATGTGCGTGTGGGTCTGTCTGCCGCAGCCTGCCACTGAAGGAGCTGCTCAGTGCTGTCACAGTCTCCTGCATGGGGTGGGAGATGTTGTCCAACAGGGATGACAGCTTAGCCACCATTCTCCTGTCACTCAACACCTCCACTGGGTCCAGAGGGCAGAACAGAGCTGGCCCTGTGGATCAGCCTGTTCAGTCTCTTCATGTCCCCAGCAGAGATGCTGCCGCCTCAGCAGACCACACCGTAAAAGATGGCTGAGGCCACCACAGAGTCATAGAAGGTCTTCAGGAGTGGGCCCTTCACGCCAAAAGACCTGAGTCTCCACAGCAGGTACAGCCTGCTCTGCCCTGTCCTGTAGAGGGCGTCTGAGTTATGAGTCAGTCCAGTTTATTGTTCAGATGAACACCAAGGTACCTGTAGCTGTCCACAGTCTCAATGTCCATACCTTGGATGTTCAGTGGTTGCAG